GCAACATGTGGATCAAAGCAACATGTGGATACTGGTCAGTGATGACCTAGGCAATTGCCTTTTATAAATGTAGTACACACTGGTCAGTGATGACCTAGGCAATTGCCTTTTATAAATGTAGTACATACATCATAGAGGACAAATGACATACCCAGGGTATCAGCTAGTCAGTGCCAGAACCAGATCTAAACAAAACACTCTGACTCTCACTTCAGGGTTCTTTCAGCTGTTATAGAACAAAAACAATGGTAGAATTAGGTCTGGTGCTTCAATGAGACTGTGAGCACTCACTGAAGATAATAAACTTCAGCTTTGGATGAGCACCTACCTACAGAAGGACAGCACCAGGTGTCAGGGTAGGAGAGCTTATATAGGGTGCCAAGGTCTGGCTGATACAATCAAGGAGGGGCATTATGCTAATGCAGAAGCTATGTGACCAGGGTGGAGAATTGCACCCTTGCGGAAGCAAAAGGGTTTCTGTTTCTCAGAAATCACGAGGTTTCTTACAAAGGGAGAGGCTGGTGACTATTTTGTGCTTATTGTGTGCAAAATGGCACTGGTCACATCCAAGATCCATCACCTACTATTTTCCAGAAATTGTACTAGGTACCTTGTTATTACTACTTAAAACAATCTTGCAGGTTAGAGAGTTTATCCCCATTCCTCCTCAGAAAAAGGTATCAAAGCTCAGAGATAATCAATTACCTCCAAAGTGGCCAAGTTTAGATTTGAGACTAGTTCTATCAGATCACAAAGCCTGGGCTCTTTTTCATGCATCCCACTGCCCTTTCTCTCCAATCCAAGACCTTCTAAGACTGCAACTCCAAGTGTGGTCTAAGAACCAGCAGCATCTGTGCCACTTGGGAGCTTGTTAGAAATGCTAAATTTTAAGCCTCACCCCAGATCCACAGACTGTATTTTATCAAGATCCCAGGTGATTCATATGAAATCCAAGATACCTCAACAAAATACAAATCTCTCTATAAATTAAAATAACTCCTGGGAAAATAGTAGATGTGTTCTCTGTCAGGCACATCGTAGATAATCAGAAATACCTTTTGGATTAAATTGAAACATGAGAAAAGAGCTGGCTTGGACCTTTAAGGAAGGAGAAACAAGAATACAATTTTTAGTTAAAAATGAGTTTTCAGAACTAAATCTTGAAAATATAAAATGCTTTATCTACCGTCAGAACACCTGCCTCCTTCTCTCATCTCCTCCACTCTTCTATATCATAGGTATGTGAACTTTTGTTCCCAACAAATTCACTGAGTTAGAAGGAATTGTTAATTTATTTGAGTGGAAGCGTGTCAACATCACACAGGGAAAAGTGGTCCACGGGTATTCTCACCACACACATCAGCCTAATAAAATTGTCAGGATGTGTGGTTCATGGCAGGATTTGCAGCTCGCTGTGTTCTGGCTATGGAGAGCTCTGTCCATTTCTTGAAATTGGGCTCTAGCTGAGATTCCTTCAGTGTTCCTAAAAATGCCTTTCACTATTGAATCAAAGGTTGATTGTGTATGTATCCGGAGGCTCTTCAACCACATTTTCAGTATTTTCCTCATGTGCCAGGATGCCCTCAACTCTTACTTTCATTCCAAGCGAGGCAGTTAATTAAGCAGGTGTTAATAAGTCTAGACGTTTTGGGTGGAAAGTGAATGACGTGAGTAGCATCGGTCCCTCCAAAAGGTCGAGTCCACGTGAACCCTGTTTAGTGAGGTGTTTTTCCCTCTTTCCCATTTCTTAACTCAATGGGGCATTGCTGGCTATTTTTGTCCTTTAGAAAACAACAGCAGTGTGATTTATAGTAGCAGGGCTTCTAACCAATATTTCATTGTGTCATGCAGGGACCGCGCAAGCTGTGCGTTAAGGAGATGAACAGTGGCATGGCGAAAAAACAGGCTTGGCTTATAAAGAACAAAATCAAGGCTTTTTATGCTGCAGTGGCGGCAGACTGTTTCAGAGATGGTGTCCGAAGTCTCCTTCAGGTAAGTCTGGCATTGAGGGAATGAGCACAGAGGCAAAAGACAATTAGCACTCCATGTTAATGAAGCTCCCAAAGTGACTGGCTGCAGGAAGGCAGCCCAGCATCAGCCCAGCATCAGAGATCAGTGCAGATGAATACAGAATTCATTTTTGAATTCTTGAGGATAGGCAAAAGCAGAGAGGTTCTGTTATAATGAGCTATGAATGATGCACTGGAAATGGAAAATGAGGTTGCCTTTGGCCACCAGCATATATTCTGTCCCTATACTTATTGAAATGAAAATTTGTTCTGGTGATGACATTCAGGATCCTATTGAAACTTCAAACTCTTTTTGCATCTCATACTGCCTATAGCAATGCTCAAGTGAGGCATTCTTTTCCTTTTTCTTTTGCAAATGGTGTGAGGGCACCTGCTAGATTCAACTAAATAAATGCATGGTGATCTGGATGTAAAATCTCCCTATCCTCCTGAATTATTTCCAGAACGTTAGATAAAATGTAGTATCTATAGCTCAACATTAAAACCCAGTTCTCTATCTTTTTTACTATATTCTTTCCTTTTTCTTCCCTTTCTGTCACCTCTCCCAGGGTGATGGAGACTCAAAGGATTACTCAAAGCCCATTTCTTCTGAGCAGCCCCAAAGGGGTGAATTTCCAGAGGCAGTCCTCCTCAGAAAATTAACACCAAACTAGGGTCTTCTCTCTGTATTTATTCTCCAGGCCAGAAAGTTACAAAAAAGGAACATAGATGGTTACAAAAAGAACAGTAAGATAATTGTCATGGCAACAATCATTAGGTTTAGCTGCATCAAGGACATCTGCCCTTGGAGCCAGCAATTTTGCTGTGTTACAATTCTTTATCTACAACAGAGACTTTAGCCCAGGGAAAGTTTCCTGTCTTTCACAAGCTTAACATTTCTACATGTAATTTTAAAAAGTTAGTCTATACCTAAAACTACAGGGCCTTGGAAACTAGGCCCTGTGAAATACATTTGCTTTATTAATGTTAGTACACTCCACACCTTCGTTTACCTCATCTATAGTAAGTACATAAAATCTTTCCCTAATTTTGATCTCCATAATTTAGACTGCCAGATAATCCTTACAACAATCCCAGAGATCCTCAGAAATTTTAGGACTTGGCTTTCGAAACATTTTGGTTTGAATATGGTTGAAATCCCCAATTCTGTGTATACAAATGGTACATATGGCTTTCAGAGTTGCTGTGTTTAGGAATGTCACAATTCAGGACTGCCTCCAGGTAACCAATGCTTAAGCAGGCAGGAAAGAAAAAATATTGCTTAAGCTGTAAAGTTTGGAGATTAAGACTATTTAATGCATTCCTGTCTCTAATATCCAGGAAGAACACTTGCGAAGTAGCTGTGCATGCAGAGAAGCCATTTCTGAAAGACATATTACCCACAACAAGCCTCTTTTTATGTTTTTAGTTTGCTTGCTAAACCATGGAAATAGGTGTTATTGCAACATGTTGGTTTTTCTTTCAGTAGTGAGTTACTTTCAGTAGCTCTTCAGTTAGATATGTTGGGAAGGTTACACATTTAGTATAAAATTATTACAGAAGATTTGTGAAATAATAGAATTTTCAACTAGGAATGGGAATACAGGCATAGGATAAGAGCAGGAAGGAAAAGACATAGGTATGAATAATAATTTTTATATTAACTGAGAAGCATGGTAAAAAATTTGAACATGTATAAATTCACATGAATTTCTTCACATGAAAGCAGAGTACACAGGAGTCATGGCAAAAAGGCAGGATAGAGTATATTAAAAAGAAGCACTGCCAATTACACAACTTTGGATAAAGCTTTTCTGCATCTAAGAAGTTATGGTACAAATCACCACATGCCCAAACTGTGGTCATGGAAAAGATGACATCCATGCTGCCACACATCTGCCAAGGGCCGAGAGAGGGCTCTAGGAGCTGTTCAGCCACACTTGCCTTTCTAAGAGCAACACACCAAATGTGTTGGAGGCAAACTTTATTTTAGGAGCCCTTCAGCAGTGCCTATCTCCTTGCATTTGTTACTGTCCCCACTAAAATATCCAGCTCTGGTCATTTCTTTCACTATTCCCATGACCCAGAATGACCTTCTTTCACTCCCACTGCTGTCCTCATCTTCACCTGTTAACATCTAACCAACCTCCAAGATTCGGAACAAATACTACCTCTCCCATGAAGCCGTCCATGAATCCTCAGCCGGAATTCAAGTTTTCTTTCCTTCCTGCTTCTGTATGAGTTTCTATTGCATTCATGCTTATATTAGAATTATTTGATTATAATTATCAATATAATTATATTGATATAATTATATCAATATAATTATTTAATATATTTGATATAATTTGATTATATCAAATAAGGTCTCCTCCACCTTATTCTAAGCTCCTTAAGGCCAAGGAATGTACCTTACTACTCTCCCACAGCACCTAGCATAACATTTTGCAATTAATAGGCACTTGATAATATTGCCAAATTAAATTTGATTAACTGGAAGCCATATCCTGTCATGTAATGGGGGGAAATGAAATTTCTGATATGGAAGATGGCTATTAATTATATTGTCATGCAAGAGGATTAAGTTTGGGAAAAATAATTTAGTCACTCTTCAGTAAATAATATAAGTAGAGATTTCAGTGATCCTGTATATAAGAATTTTCCAAACATGGATTTTATTGCTAATGACATTATGGATATAACAGGTGGAAATGAGCTTTGAACCACTAAGTTACAACATGCATACCAACAGTTAAGCCAACCCTCACTTGATTTTAAATTATTGAACCATTTTAATGAGTGTGTCAGAAGAAATGCAAATGACTGCTAATTTAGAAAAGCTGCATTTCTGTCATCTAAAATCCATTTATGGCTGAGATGATTTAGAACTAATCTTTCTATTTTATGCTTGGGTACGGGCATGAAGGACATGCACTAAAATGTAATCTAATCTTCAGAATCTTCAGAACATTACTTCTGTGCTCCTTTGGACATTATTTTTCATTTGCAGTGGTAGTTTCCCCGTACGGTAAGGATTGCCCATGTGTTTATGTCCTCTGTTTAGGCCTCAGGCTTAGGAAGAATGAAACCAAACACTCTGGTGATTGGATATAAAAGAAACTGGAAGAAAGCTCCCTTGACAGAGATTGAGAACTACGTGGGAATCATCCAGTAAGTGATGGCTTTCAAGATGTGTTCTTGTTTATAAAGCACTAACCAGGGCAGTGCATAACCTGTACTGCACATAATACTGTTGTGCCAGATTAAATTGCCCGAGAACAGCACATTCCCCTGGTACTCTGAATTCTTTACCAAAGTGAAACAACATCTCCAACAATAGAACATGATGGAATCAGAGTGTCAGATGCAACACGGTGGGAGAAACGTCAGTGTCAAAGAGAAAGGTAAATGTTTAGAGTTACAACTTTAAAATTTATTTACAATATTAAAATCAAAGGATAGCTAGGTAAGGAAGGAATTTTTCTACCAAAATGCCTGGAATTTGGGGTTGGCTGGTATGCTCAACTCAGTCACCATCTCCTTCTGAGCCTTGGATAACACGTTCACCATCTCAGAACCCCTTATCTCCTCTACTGGTAGGAGGATCCCGTATGCCAGGGGCTTCTGCCACCAGGTATAGCAACATTGGTTTATGCACAGAATGTGAGTTTTAGATGGTGACATCTAATAATAGCTAAATATCTTAAGAGTCTGAAGATAGAGCTAATAATGATAGACCTTAGAGGACTAGCAGGCACCAAGCTAATGTCCTTTACATAACGTATCCTGTTTAACTCTCACAAGACACCTTTGAAGTAAGGACTATTATTGTTTTCATTTTACAAGTGGAGACACAGACATTAAAAACTAAGTAACAGGGCCGAGCCCGTGGCGCACTCGGGAGAGTGCTGCGCTGGGAGTGCAGTGACGCTCCCGCCGCGGGTTAGGATCCTACATAGGAATGGCTGATGCGCTCACTGGCTGAGCGCGGTGTGGGCGACACCACACCAAGGGTTGCGATCCCCTTACCGGTCACGAAAAAAGACAAAAAAAAAACTAAGTAACATGTTGAAAAATCACAGTGTGGTAAGGGACAGAGCTGGGATTCCAACCCAGGACCATCCAAATTCAAAGTTCAAACTGGCTAGTCTGCTCACTTGGGAGAGCATGGAGCTGATAGGACCACGGTCTAGGTTTCAGATCCCTATACCGGCCAGCCACCAAAAATAAATAAATAAAGTTCAAACTCATAACCACAATGTACACTGCCTCCAAAAGTACATATATACCCAAAGTATTACCTGCCCAGGTTCTTTCTTTTGAATAAGAGAAAACAAATCCTACACATATGGAGAGATCCATTCTATAAAATTGAACCTTTCTTCTAGGCTTGAAAATACTTACCCAGACTCAATAGGGGCAATGTTAATTATGCCCAACAGCCATCTCTTGTGTCTATGGCTCTGGAAATGGAATGTTTCCTGTGTCTGGGGTCTGGCTATACTCTGACCTCATCCCACAGAGTACAGAACATGCCCCGAGAGGTATGGCTGCACTTAAAAGTCCATACTACACAGGGAAGAAATCCTGACCCCCTCAAAATAAGCATATACTTAGTACTTCTTACACCGGGTTATTTCCTCTATGCCTTGCTATAATGAGCATCACATTTATCATTACTTTGGGCAGATTTATGCAACATGGTAAAAGCATTCTTAATCCTATTGAAAAAAGAAAATAGTTTTCATCTTCTGGAATTATATGCGGCACTGACCGAACAGTAATTCACTTAGTCTTTCTAATGTGAGGAACCTATTTTTTAAATGCACTGTGTTTCTCAAACAACAGATAATGCCCGAATGCCATGTGCTGCTATCTGACTCCTGCTGGTGTTGTAAATTCAGTAGACTGAGGCTAAACCAGGTGATTGGGATCAGAATTTTACCAGGCTCAGCACACTGCATTTTAATACTTTCAGAATCACAATGAGTTGCTGATTCTTGGAAATGGATTAGATCTGCCATCTGTTATCAAGTTTCTTCAGTAAAATTTTAACTTCACCTGTAGGAGCAAAAGGGGTGAAGGGAAAGAAATAAACAAATAGGAAGAAATGTGTAAATTGTCAAAGAGTCCATTATTTGATACAGAATTACCTGGGATTGTCTTCCAACTGTCCATCCATCCCAAGTAGTCTACCAATTCAAAGGGACCAAAGTAATTAAACCCAGTAATACTGAACCAAGGAGGCCTCTGGCTTTTACAACAAATTAACAATTGTTCTTCTTGGTAATAAAGTTCAGCATTCAGGTGGCTGGATTGGTAAAGTTAAATGACTTTACTACCACAGCAATGGGTTACTATAGAAGGAGGACATACATCTGTGCTGCGTTTCCCTTTCCAATTCTTTTTGTTGCCTTATGATTTAAAGTAAAGCATAATATTACTGTTAACATAGGGGTATTATTATGAGTATGGTATTTTACCATTTTTCCTTGAAAAAAAGATTTTAAGTGTCTGTAATATTCTTAAGTGTGGTTTGATATTAATTAGAATCTGTATTCATTTTCAATGGCTGCCTAACAAGTTACCTCAAATTTAGTGGCTTAAATCAACACAGCTTTATTACCTTATAGTTCTGTGGATTTGAAGTCTGACTGGGTCTCATTGAGTTAAAATCAAGGTGTGGGCCAGGATGCATTCCCTTTGGAAGGCTGCAGGACAAATCCCTTACCTTGCCTCTTCCAGATTCTAGAAGCTGTCCACATGTGGGCATGGCTCATGACTGTCCTCAATTTTCAAAGCCAGCAACAGTCGCTCAAGGCATCCTCATATCACATTACTCTGACAGCCTCTCCTGCCTCCTAATTTCACTTTTAGGTATCTTTGTGATTACACTTGGCCCACCAGGTAATCCAGGATAATTTCCCCATCCCAAAGTCCTTAATCTAATCACATTTATGGAGTCCGGTTTGCCATGTAAGGAAGCATGTTCACAGGTTCCAGGCATTAGGGTGTCTTTGGCAATCCATTATTGTGCTAACACAGAATCCAAGTATATTTGTTTATAGAATACATTGTCTACTTGTTATAATCAAGAACAATCAAAACAAATCAAGATTTGTTAATGAGGAATTTATTTTGTGTCAACTTGGCTAAAATGGATCAATTTTGTTAAATGAAGATCACTTTTGGTTTGAATTTTGAGGGGATGTTTGAATAAATTGGCTGCAGAGTGATAATTAAGTTACCTCTACCCAGAATGTACTTTAAAAAGGCATAAAGGGAGAACAAACAACAGAAAAGGCATCCGCTCTTGGCTGTATTCTAAAGTGGATTTTAATAGTTTCATTACATCAGAATCCTAGAAGAAAGTTTACTATTCATCCAAAGCTTGAGGATTAAAGGAGCTGTCCATTTAAAACTCTAACCACTTCGCTTCCCCTTTCAGTGACGCATTTGATTTTGAGATTGGTGTGGTCATAGTCAGAATCAGCCAAGGTTTTGACATCTCTCAGGTACTTCAGGTGCAAGGTACGTACTTTCTTTAACCCACAAGTATTTATTGAGCACCTACTGTGTGCCTGACATTGTTTTAGGTGGTGGGGATAGAGCCATGCACAGTATAGACAAAATTCCCTAACAATGGAGCTTACATTCTGCTGCTGACCCATGGTGTGTGCATTTCCCCCAGTGTTTTCCCCATTGCTAACACAAGTGGCCTTTCTCCAGCTAAGCAGAAATATAGAGAGATTCAGGATAGTCATCAATTATTTTTCTTATCACAAAACCACAAAGCCAGCATCAAGGAAAATAAATACCTTCAGTAAAATAACCTGCAGAATTAATTTCTGCAAGATGTTTTAGAAAACAAAAATTAATTCTTTTCTTGGAAAAACATGTACTTTGCGTTTAAGAGTCTATGAACTGGTTTGTAGTTAACATGGAAATGAGCCTGAATGTATCATGCTGTGAATCACTAATCTAAGTCAGAGGCAGAAACAACTGATTCAGATTACTGAGTCTGTTTTTTCCCTGTAGAAAATTTGGTATACTTCTTTAATCTTAGAATTTAAACATACTCTCTTGTGTATGAAATAGAGAACATATTTAAAGAGTTACTGAAAGAGTAGGACAGGGTATGAATCCATGACTCATCTCTTTAGCTGATCTTCATAATAGAATCCACAGACGACACAACACAAACACAAAAGGGATATATATATGAGTAGGACAGGGTATGAATCCATGACTCATCTCTTTAGCTGATCTTCATAATAGAATCCACTGACGACACAACACAAACACAAAAGGGATATATATATATATTTTTTCCTTTTTTGTCTTTTTCCGTGTCCAGCAACGGATCGCAACCCTCAGTGTCGCCCCCGTACCGGACCGGGACCAGCAACGGGATCGCAACCCTCGGTGTTGCTCCCGCGCCTCGCTCAGCCAGTGAGCGGGAACCGGTCCGCATGTGGGATCCAAACCCTCGGCGGGAGCGCCACCACACTTCCCAAGTGGCACACTGTAGCAGTGCGCCACCGGGCCGGCCCCAAAAGGGATATTTTTTGATGCCTGTTAGGTGCCAGGCATAGTGTAGGTGTTGGTGCTGGGTAGATTAATAAAGTCTGTCTGTACCAAGAGACTCACAGCCTAGTAAGGGAAATGGATATATTACAAGTGTAATAATAGGTATAAATAAGGTATTATGGGAAAGACAGAAGGGGCACTTAACTCCAAAAAGGCTTCCTGGAGAAAGTTACCTTTAATTGAGATTTAGTGGATGAGTAGGAAGGATTTAAGTAGACAATGTTGAGTGAGAGAAAAAAAAGAAGAGACCTTGGAGAATGACATTCCTGGCAAAGAGAGCATTAGCAAAGGTGGAGAGATGGGAATATGGAGGCACAGGCTGTATGGGCAACCAAAAGCAGGTCAGTGTTGCTGCAGCGAAAAGTATGAAGCAGACGATAGTGAGACCACGCTCACCCAGTGAGCAACCGGCCATCCCTATATGGGATCCGAACCCGGGGCCTTGGTGTTAGCAGCACCGCACTCTCCCGAGTGAGCCACGGGCCGGCCCCAAAAGGGATATTTTTTGATGCCTGTTAGGTGCCAGGCATAGTGTAGGTGTTGGTGCTGGGTAGATTAATAAAGTCTGTCTGTACCAAGAGACTCACAGCCTAGTAAGGGAAATGGATATATTACAAGTGTAATAATAGGTATAAATAAGGTATTATGGGAAAGGCAGAAGGGGCACTTAACTCCAAAAAGGCTTCCTGGAGAAAGTTACCTTTAATTGAGATTTAGTGGATGAGTAGGAAGGAGTTAAGTAGACAATGTTGAGTGAGAGAAAAATAAGGAGAGAGCTTGGAGAATGACATTCCTGGCAAAGAGAGCATTAGCAAAGGTGGAGAGATGGGAATATGGAGGCACAGGCTGTATTGGCAACCAAAAGCAGGTCAGTGTTGCTGCAGCGAAAAGTATGAAGCAGACGATAGTGAGACACAAGGCTGCCGACAGGAGGAGATCCAGACTTGAAAAGCCTCATTTGCCGTATTAAAAAATGTGGACCATCAGCCTCCCTTTTTATGCCCCTTTTCTCTTATTATGGACATTTTACATCTCCGGATCAGATATACTAATTCCCACTTAGTGTTCATTATTAATTTATATTCTTTCCTAGTAGAACTTAATGCATTAGTAGCAACAACAGCTAACATTTTTGAGTAATTATTTTGTGCCATGTACAGTGCTTCATGTCAACGTGTAACATTTATCATCCCAACTACACTGTGAGGGAAGTATTATCATTGTCTCCATTTTACAGCTGATAAAACTGAGGCTTACCCAAGATCCACAAGGCTAGTAATTGGTAGAGTTGGGATTCAAACCTATGTCTGTTCAAGTGCACAGAAGGAGGCCTTAGATCACCTACAAAGTGAATAATTAAGAATTAACTGTAATAAGAACTTGCAAAATCACTGCGCAAGTGGGGATCACACCACAGTGTGGATCTGAAAGTCTAAGACGGCGAAGCAAGCAGATTTTAGCCCAGGCTCTTCCCATCAGCCTCTGTCTCTGTCATCTTTGAGGGAACTGCTGAATCTGAAGCATTCAAGCAAAGTCTGGTTTTGACTCTCAGGCCTGGGATTTTGCAGTTTGCTCTGTCCTGCATGGGCTGTGTAAATACCTTCAAGCAAATTGTTGGAGTAGTTCCCAGTTCTCTCAGCCAGCTGACTCCGTTACAAAGGAGGATTTATCTTTTTTTCTCCTTTATCCAAACTAGAGGACAAAGAGCATGGCAACTAGTGGCTAATCACAGGGTGTGCTGGAGCCTGCCAAAAAAGAAAAGAGAAAAACCCTTTCCCCAGAGCAACCCTTACAGTTGCTCTCAAAGAAGCTCATAAATATGTACTGTCCAGAGGGCTGCAATCCCACAGCTGGCCCCTGCAACATCCCAAAAGGCTGGATAACAGCTAGGGTGCTGTCACCCAGGGCAGTGACGACAAAGTCTGGCTGCTGATGCTCTGCTCTGGGGCAGCCTGCCATATAGAACCTTAACTTTAGAGTCTTCCTTTTAAAATGATATGTTCAAGGGGCCATCGTTTGGGGGGATTAACTTGGCATTAAGTAGACAGATTTGGGTTCAAACACCAAATTTGACACCTTCAGGCTGTGTGACCTTGGTCAAATTACTCATCCTTTAGGTTTCACTTTTCACTTTTTCAAATGGGAACAATTATAGTACCTACCTCACAGTTTTGTCGTTTTAGATTAAAGGTGATGATGGCTGCACAGTGTTTGGCAGTAAACCCAACAAGTGGTGGTAATGAAATATGACAGAAGCTCTGCCCTCCAGGAGTCTGCAGTCCGGTGGGGATAAAACACACATGTTTCTTAAAACTCTATTCTGTGTCACACAGTTATAGTTACTGGAATAAAGATTTAAGCAGGGTATAGTGGAAACGTGGAGGAGATTAATTCTGATTAGAAATTTAGGGATTTCTAAACTTAGAAATTTAGAAATTAGGTTTCTCAAAAACATGCAGAGCAGGTATTCCTTCAAGGTATATCCTTCAGGGCCAATCACTGAAGAAGAAGCTAAAAGAGGGATAAATGCTAGAAGTAGAAATGGAAGATATGGGTCACTAGCCGTGTGACTCTGGACAAATCACTTAAACTTCCTGAGCCAAAGTTTTCTTTTCTGTAAAATGGGGAGAATAATGCCAGCTCTGCCTGCATCCCAGCACTGATATCAAATGAGATAGTATGTGGAAAGGGCTTTGTAATTCCTGAACACTGAAAATGTAGTAGTGATGGTGGTGGTGGTGATGGTATTGTTGGTGGTGGTGATGGTAGTGGTAGTGATGGAATGAATAATTTTTGTCATCCTCCTAATAGAAATCAATTTATGTCTATCCATTTGTAATCCTTTGGCTTGCTTCCCCTTGTGGCTAAAGGTACACTTTTGCAAGTCAGGTGGCCCAGTATTCTTGTTGAAAGAAATGTTTTGACAAAGTCTTCTTTTGATTTCCCATGCAAACAGAGGCAAGCACATAGATAATTCAGAAGAACAGATAATCAAAACATCACTTCTATTTAGTGCTGATATGTGGAAAGGAGGAAGTGCACAGAAGGAGGCCTTAGATCACCTACAAATTTCCCATGCAAACAGAGGCAAGCACATAGATAATTCAGAAGAACAGATAATCAAAACATCGCTTCTATTTAGTGCTGATATGTGGAAAGGAGGAAGTGCACAGAAGGAGGCCTTAGATCACCTACATAGTGAATAATTAAGAATTAACTGTAATAAGAACTTGCAAAATCACTGCGCAAGTGGGGATCACACCACAGTGTGGATCTGAAAGTCTAAGACGGCGAAGCAAGCAGATTTTAGCCCAGGCTCTTCCCATCAGCCTCTGTCTCTGTCATCTTTGAGGGAACTGCTGAATCTGAAGCATTCAAGCAAAGTCTGGTTTTGACTCTCAGGCCTGGGATTTTGCAGTTTGCTCTGTCCTGCATGGGCTGTGTAAATACCTTCAAGCAAATTGTTGGAGTAGTTCCCAGTTCTCTCAGCCAGCTGACTCCGTTACAAAGGAGGATTTATCTTTTTTTCTCCTTTATCCAAACTAGAGGACAAAGAGCATGGCAACTAGTGGCTAATCACAGGGTGTGCTGGAGCCTGCCAAAAAAGAAAAGAGAAAAACCCTTTCCCCAGAGCAACCCTTACAGTTGCTCTCAAAGAAGCTCATAAATATGTACTGTCCAGAGGGCTGCAATCCCACAGCTGGCCCCTGCAACATCCCAAAAGGCTGGATAACAGCTAGGGTGCTGTCACCCAGGGCAGTGACGACAAAGTCTGGCTGCTGATGCTCTGCTCTGGGGCAGCCTGCCATATAGAACCTTAACTTTAGAGTCTTCCTTTTAAAATGATATGTTCAAGGGGCCATCGTTTGGGGGGATTAACTTGGCATTACACTATGTGCCAGAGAGTGTTTAGGTGCATCATCTGAGGAGGAGTTGGAGGTTAATAAAACAACTCTGAAATAATAGTAATAAACCACAAGGAATAAGGTCTTCATGGTGGGAAGCTTATAGGATTTGGAGTCAAGCAGACCTCTTTACATTTGAACCCTGTAATTTGCTGGGTGGTATCAGACAAATTACTTAACCTCTCTGAGCCTCAGTTTCTTCATCTACAAAATGAGGACAATTAACACTCTCAGAGTTGTTTGGGAAGGTATAAAATGCAGCACAGTTCCTGGTACCCAAAGAGTATGCAATAAATAGTAACTGCTATAATAACTCCAAGTCGTCTCAAAATACTCAACTTGCTTTGCATGACCAGACCCATTTTCAGAAGCTGCATAAATACACTGCCTATAGAATGTAGTCGTTGCACTGTTCTTTAAGGAGCTCCACAGCACTATGCAGAAACTGTTGTTTATTCTTTTTGAAAAGTTAGGAGGGTGGGAAGAGGAAAGGGTTACAATTTTCCATTTCACAGATAGGAAATCCAAGGCATAGAAAAAGTAAATGACTTGCCTAATGTCACATAAAGCCAGCAGCAGAGCTTTATCGGTCGTGACCCCAGTGCAAGGCAGCTTATCTTCACCTTTTGAAAGTCAGGGGTAAGCAACTCCTGTCTGAGCTTTAATACCATCAGTCTAATTTCTCAGATTTTCTATAGCTGCTGATCTTGAGAACCTTTGAAGCTTTGGGGAAATCACATGGGTGATTTGACCTTAAATCTCATGCCACTGGCAAAAGATTAATTGCTAAGACCTGGAAAGGAGCCAGACAATTCTGTGTAGCTGAATAACAGCATCGTCCGGGGAAGTGACTGTCCTGACAGATTTAGTTAGTACATAATTGATAAATCTAGAGTTTGTATAGCTTCGCTTCATGGTTAGATAAGACAACAGGCTCCGAGGTTTGACATTTACAGAAGGCCTACCAGTGTTTTGTAACACTGAATCTCGGTTTTCTACCCTTTTTCTTGGAACATTGCTCATTTTCTAAGGCTCTGTTCCCAGGAGGCAATAAGATGAAAGTATCTGACAAGAGTGCCACCTGCCCAGTGTAAGCAAGAAGGCTCATCAGTTCAGCACTGCCACATGATGGCTTTTAAAGTCTTATTTACTCTGATCCAATGCAGGTTGAGGTCAAAGAGGGATTCAATGTATTACATAGCAGCTAGGAATTTTTCATCACAATCAGAATCTGAAAAGATAAAAGGCAGCCTGACGCAACATCAAAGCTTGGATAAAAAAATAATAATAATAAAGCTTGGTTCTAAACCTAAGGCAGGAAAGTCTGCACAGCTTGACTCTTGTTTCAGACTCCAGTGTCATGAGACCCTTTTTAGCAATTTGGACTCTAACAGGCACACAGAAACTTCAGCTTTTATTTCTTTGATTTTGATCACCCACTCCACAAATTATTTTGCTTATCTGAAGGAATTGGTGGTGGACACTTTTCCACTGTAATTTTTATTATGAGCCCATAGGATTATTATAAAATTTGGTTACCTTTCCTTAATTATTGCTCTCTAGTTTTATGTTTCAATTCAGGAGGCGTTGTTGTGTGCTTTATATATACCCAGTGTACTCCTGCAGTTTGTCACTTGCAGTTGTAAAACATCAGACCCTGTAGCTCAGGTCAGTCAATCAGTGGCTCACAGTGTACAAGAGCTACATACAGTGGATCAGGGTTTTTGTTTGTTTATTTTGGGATGATAGTGAATAAGGATGGCCTTAAATAGCTTCTCTTGCCCTCACAAATAAAAACCCAGTGACTTTATGTATTATGACTGAATACATAGAGCCATTTTTCTGAGCTATTGTGGATCAGTAATCATTTTATTCCATAAACACAATTTTAAATATTAAAATAGCTTATGAGATTGTTCCTAGAAACTCTGTTGCTCTGAGTTAAGTAGGTGATTTTGTCTTCTTTCATCAGATGAATTAGAGAAATTAGAACAGGAGAGACTAGCACTGGAAGCCACTCTCAAAGATAATGAGTGTGAAGAAGGAAGCAGAGGCATCCGAGGCTTGTTCAAAAAAGCTGGCAAGTTGAACATTACTAAGCCAACTCGTAAAAAAGGTAAGACCTTTTTAAAATCAAGAATACATACAGAAATACAAGAAATAATACAAGTCATTAAGTACTTTGTAGCATCTTACTGTAAAAAATTTATCTTAAAATAATAGGGCTGTCTGTTAGTTCACTTGGCTAGAGCACAGTGTTATAACACCAAGGGATCAGATCCCTGTACTGGCTAGTTGCCAAAAAAAATGCAATAAATTTTTAAAAATAAAATAGTAGTATTTGGTTTGGAAGTGATATAGTAGTGCTTAAGCAGATTGAGCGCCATGAAATGGAAATTTCTTAGTTAAATGGGAAGGCAATAGAAAGTTAAGGACCGATACCCAAACCGTTTATCTGCACCCCCCTTATCTGGCAGACATTTCAGGGGACTGAAAGTTGACTAGTACAGGTAAATTGGGGGTCTAGCTAGAACACTAATTTCAAAAAAGCATCTTTATCACAAACCAGAATGCTGGACTTAGAACTTCATTGATACTAATTACCTGTAGATTTCAGCTCAGGGGTATACTCATCTCTGAGTGTCTGGCATACATCCCAGGAACAGAGGACTAAAGCATGGGAGAGTGTATTATGTTTTGTAAGCAGGTGATTTGAACATCTGAACTTTTGGAAACTACTCTGTTTTCACAACACTGCAGGTTTGGGTTTAATGAGGTCCACAGTGACCTCTGCTGGTAGAAAACTGGAATGTTAACATGCATTTATTTCTTCATGCACAAGTGTCCTACAGTGACTGAAGTCATACTCCGTGCAAGGTCAGCAAAAGATCATTTCTCTGGGAGGGTCTCCAAGTCAAACAGCAGGCTCCACGCGGAAACTTAGCAGACTTCTAGTCTAGGTTGACCAGAGCCAACCCTTCAAAGAGGCCACATCCTATCCTGTAAATGGTTTGGTTTTGTTTGCTTGTTCTCCTACTTGGATGGAATTTCACCTATGATATAATATTTTTATATATTTACAGTGAATGATGGGAAATCCAAATATTGTCCCACTTCATATACTAGAGCTACTCCCAGGTTCCTGGGATATTCCATGGGCTATCAGAGAGCCCACTACTTATTGCCCACCTTAAAATGACATCAGCTCAAATCTAAAGTTGGAGCTACATCAGGATTTTCAGGGGCAAAAATTAAAATAAATCTATTCTGAATGTTAACTACTATCTTCTCTTCTTTCCAGTTGTTTGATGTATTTGTGAGAAAAAATAATAAATAAATAAACAAACTGCTCTATTAAGTACAGTCTGGAAAAGCACTGGAAAATTCAGAAGTCATGGTCCAATACTGTCCTCTTGCTGATGGACAGGGGAAGCAGTAATGTTCTTTTTAGTGAAAGCAGGACTTGTTATTTATCCTGGAAGCCTGTTTTTGCATCACAATACTTGTTTTGGCAAAAATGTACTCTTTTGAAAGTCAACATGTCTCATTGTTCAGAAAAGCAGAATAATAATGTTATGCGCTATTTTCAATACCTTAAAGTTCAAACATAGATGTAAAGTGGGCCCATTCACCACTCTGGGCTTCAGTTGGTTGACAACTCTTTTGAGTTCTAGATCAGGACAAGCCCTGCCTTCAGGCCCTCATACAGGAGTTCTCTGGATGCTCTGATTTGCATGTAAGCGAGGGCAGAGTTTGGTCCATTTTATAAATAAATTTACTTTCTCCTTCAGAGGTCTTAGGGATATAGAAACAATATAAGATAATTGCTTCAGAACTGACAGACCCAAAACATGGAAACAGCGAAAGACAGAACAAAGCATCTGCAGAACCTCTTAGATCTGAAAGGAAGCTCTGAAGAAGCTGTCAGCTCCACCCTGAGCACTGTGCTGACACCACCTCACTGAAAGACAGCAATGAAGTCACAACTTCCAAAGACATGGAAATGAGGAATAGTATATAGTGTGCAGCAAGGAAACACCTACTGGCAAATAGAAACAAGGGTCCTGCTCAGACACTGGCCTAGTTACCTGGCACACTTTCATTGTATCTATCTTAGGTTGGAATTGCATTTTTAAAAATTTTTAATAATTTTATATGCACTTTTAGTTATAACTCAGGTAAAGTTATTTTGTCTTTGTATATTTCCTGGCTTTTTTCATCCCATTCATTCACAAACATTTAAATAGCTAAAGTGGCTTTACCTTAACTTCACAAGGTTCCTTGAAAAGAAAACAGAAGAGTAAGCCAGGTTGACCATGGGAACAAATAGTCATAGCAAGTTCCAGAAGCACATGGACCCTGGCAAACTTTATAACCAGACCTTCATGGAACTTAATCCCAAACTGTGCTTCAATGAATAAAAATTGTGCTTCCCTAATAAAATAATATTTCTGATTCTATTGCTTATCTCTAGAAAATCAATCACCACAAGTTTCCTCTTTCAAGTAAATCTGAAAATATTAAGTTGATTTATACCTGAGATTTGGGAAAACTGGGATATTTAGGCTATTGTATCAGGTAATTTAGCAGTTACATGCCTAAATAATAATTCCACTCTGAGACAGATTACCAAGGATCTGATAATAATCCACACCTTTATAGTGAAAACTATAATCATAAAACCAATATCAAATTTTTATTTAACTGTTAAGGTGATCTAAATTATTGTGGGATTTGACCTTTATCTCCCCTTTTTGGAGAATAGAGTTCACTATTTATCAATAGGTATAAAAAGCATGAATTCATGGCCCCTCCTCTATTTTCATCAGCAGATTTATTGGAAAGTGATTTTGTTCCTGTCCTCTTTTATTTCAGATGGTAGCATTAACACAATCCAGTCGATGCATGTGGGGGAGTTCAACCAGAAACTCGTAGAAGCCAGTGCTCAATTTAAGAAGAAACAAGGAAAAGGCACAATTGATGTTTGGTGGTTGTTTGATGATGGAGGTAAAAACTTCCAGAATGTACACTAGGGAGAAGAATTTCTATTTTGATAAATTTAACAAACTGCATGGGAAAGTATATGAAAATGATGTCAGTTAAAGAATAACATTTCTGTGTTCTCCAAAGACTGTAAATTATTTAAGAGCTGTGAATGTGGGAATGAATAAAGATATAAGGCTATTCATTTCCTTTCAGTTAGATATACTCATCATTTCTACCATAATTTACTCTTTATTCCAGGGTTAACACTCCTTATCCCGTATATCTTGACTCTCAGAAAAAAATGGAAAGACTGTAAATTAAGAATCTATGTCGGAGGGAAGATCAATCGCATTGAAGAAGAAAAAATTGCGTAAGTAGTTCTCCACTCACTGTTAGGTGATTGTAGATGTTTGTTGCTTTAATGCTTTAATTTTAAGAACTTTAAGTGTCTTTGAGGCATAATAGATTTCAAGATAAAGCCACCATAATAAGCTTTAAGTTAACTTGGTTTTCTGGCCAATAAATTGTCTGCACCATTTTTTTAATCACTGTCTTCGAGTCCTGTTATTCCTCACCACAAATGCTTCCAAAAGGGAATGTGGCACAGAAGCCTCATCTCAAGTCTTGCGTGGGAGTATCACTGTCTTGTATAATGTTTATTATGTTCTCACTACCAAATGCATTCAAGAAAGGAAGAGCCTGAAGGAATCTGTGTCCAGTTGTTTTGTTCATGGGAGAATCCAAACCTGCTAGTTCACGGCAGTCACTTTTAGCACAGCACATGTAAAAAAGAGCTAAATGGAGAGGTTGTGCCTGAGTCTTAGCCCCAACCCTGCCACCAAGGAGCTGCAAGACTTTGCAGCAGTCACTAAACATATCTGGGTCTCCAGTTTCTCATTTGTAGTTTGAAAGAGTTTAAATGGATAACTGTTGAGAACCCTTCTAATTAAAAAAAAAAAAAGTTCTGTGGTGTAAGTGTGTGCTTTTTGTATCAGCTTGGCCATTGACAGCTGATGTGTAGTTGTGAGAATAACAGGCATATCTAGAACGTGGCATATTCAAAGGTTTCTGGTGGAAATCTGGAGAACCACACAAAGGTCTCTAGTAGAAATCTGGAGAACGAATTTCAGCTGCTCTTGGTCTCCTGTGGCACACTTAAGCTCCAAGCCTTGTAAATACCACAAATCACAAAACAATGACAGGCTTTTATTGAGTAATTTTTCTTATTTTCTCCTCCCTCTTAGGAAGATGTGATTGTGAGATATATACTCATATCGATAGAATTATATAAATATTACTCATTTATTTTCAATTTAAACAATATAATATTCATATATTAATGTTATGTATATTTAATTCCTCTTAAAAAGAGACATGTTAAAATGTAAACTAACATGATGTTTATAATAATTTATATTTCTTAAAGCCTCCATTATTTTATTGGGACAACTGATGACATTTGAAGATGGTTTGTGGGTTAGATGGCATAAATGTTAAAAAATGTTAACAGCATGGCATAAATGTTAAATTTTTTCATTTCAAAAATTGTATTTTGTTTATATAAGGGAATGTCCTTGTTTTTAGAAAACATTCACTGAAATTATTTAGAGGTAAAGGGGCCTGCTACCTGAAATCTACTTTAAAATAGCAGATAAATAGATATAGAGATAAATGTAAATAAGTAGATATAAAGAGAGAGAAAAACAGGGAATGACAAATCAAATGGGGCAAAATATAAACAATTCGTGAATCTAGGAGTTCTTTGTACTATCCTTATAACTTTTCTGCAGCTTTGAAATTATATCAAAACTATCAGTTGCCAGGAAAAAATCTCCAATATATAACCGTATAATATACAAAAATTATTAGTTTGTCAGTAGTTTATCAGGAACTCTATAAAAATTATCAGCAAGATAATAGTCAATAAGCATTGACTTGCTGTGTTTCTTTCAAATAAGGGAATGTGGATGGCTTCCTGTTACCTTCCCTGAAACGTGAATGCTGAGCTGGTTTTGCTATTTCCAGCGTCTGCACCTACAAGGGAGTTTCTTTACACCTTCAGTGCAAGGGCTTCGTCCACACTTAATGTTTCCAACAAGTACTGTAATGAAAATCAAACACTAACCAAAAAGCCTCTGTCTGAGAACTAAGCTGAAATAAGACATGATTGCTTTTGATATGTTAACTCAAACACAAATAATCTTTCACTGAAAACAGTTAAATATGCAATGATGAAGTGTTTTCCTCTTATATTTTTCAGAATGGCTTCCCTTCTGAGCAAGTTTAGGATAAAATTTGCAGACATCCATATCATTGGTGACATCAATGTTAAGCCAAACAAAGAGAGGTATGACACATTTAACAAGATCTATTGATTATCTGTAGTACCCTCTCATTCTCTTTTGTGTTGATTATCTTAGGGTAAAAGTGTTAAATATTTACTGTGGTGATTTCTTGAGAGGATCTAATAAAAAGGGCCTTCAAATAATAATGACATAGAACTATCAGCTACATTCTAATGGGAAGAAAAGGTTTTATGAAGATGAGTGTGACAGGGAGAATTGTTGAGACACGGGGTAGTTAGCATTTTAGAATTGCCCTTCCAGTTCCAGGTTTTGATGGTGGCAAGAGTAGCAGAAAGCACAAGATCACACTATTCTGACCTGAGCAGTCAGGGTGAGTTTTGTTATTCAGTTACTGGTGGGGCATCTTGGATAGGGAGCTTTGGTGCAGAAGATGTGGAAACAGCTTATGTCTTCTTGGCACAATGACAGTACCAACCCTCCAGGGCCATTTTAGCTTTGGGGCACTAAGGGCCCTATGCTTAGGGCCGATATACTTCTGAGGGGTCTCTAAAATTATTGAAGCCTGGAAAGGAAATGTACTAGCTCCAAAAGAAAAAAAGAAAATGACAAAATTGAAATAATTGTTTAAATAACTTTAAAATATATAACATCATTTTAACCCTTATTAATTGTTAAATTTATCACCCCCATTATTGTCTTAGCTAGCTCAGGCTGCTGTAACAAAATACCACAGACTGCGTGGCTTAAATAACAGACATGTATTTCTCACAGTTCTGGAGGCTGGGAAGTCCAAGGTCAAGGTGCTGGCTGATTCAGTTCCTGTTCTTTATCACCCCCATTATTGTCTTAGCTAGCTCAGGCTGCTGTAACAAAATACCACAGACTGCATGGCTTAAATAACAGACATGTATTTCTCACAGTTCTGGAGGCTGGGAAGTCCAAGGTCAAGGTGCTGGCTGATTCAGTTCCTGTTGAGGGCCCTCTTCCTGGCTTGCAGATTGCTGCCCCCTCCCTGTGTCCCTGAGGACATGGTGGAAAGAGAGAGGACTCTGGTTCATTTTCCTTTTATAAGGACACTAATTCTGTAAAGGGTGCCCCACTCTTGACCTCATCTAAGCCTCCCAAAGGCCCCACCTCCAAATACCATCACATTGGTGATTAGGGCTTCAATAAAGGAATTTTGGGGAGACACAAACATTCAGTCCATAACAATAATATTAGAAAACAATTTTTAGGTTAGATCTTTGAGGTCCCAAGGGTGCAAGAAGTTGATCTGGAAATTATAGCCATTTGTAAATTAAATGAACTACTTAGAGTTATAATTTAACAATCATAAAATGTTTTCAATTGTTTACAGTCCAAAATCATATTTACTGTTGCATTCAGATGCAGTTTGATACATTTGATTTGGTGTGGCGCGAGACCTCCAGAGTCAGAACACAAAGGGATACAAAGGTCTCAGAAAGGCTCAGGTTCTCCCTGTCCTCTTGGATCTCTTTCTTTTTCTGTTGACCATCATTTCTCCTTCCTCTTGCAATTCTTGATGGGTTGTAATTCCACACTCCTCAAGTCTTCTTATCTCTTCCCTTCTTTTGATTTATTATTATCATATATGAGCTTAATAAATAACAGAAAATCATTTAGATTGAAGTTTGTAAACTTTGAGGATATTCATAATTCCTCCAAGGCTATAGGTCGGTTAAAATGGCTTTACAAAGCGCCTTAACTATGATAAGAAACCTGTAATAGACAGGGTTAACCTGTTTATTACTTTGTAATATTTTCTTATACTATACATACCTTTAATGCCTTACATTCTTATATTTCTAGTCATAAATACTGAGAAAAATTAAGAACGCATAATTCTCTTTGGCAAATGAAAGTTACATTCCGATTTGAACTGGGTTGTTATACAGTAATCTCTGGTAGCCTTCAATTTTTCATTGGAATTTTAATTTCTTAAATTGTTGCCTCTTGGCATTTGCAGTGGTGTGATCAAACAAGCTCATTTTATGGCTCTAACTGGTGGAAATGCATTCTCTTTCATAACACAGCAGATCCAACAATTCCTGACCACACGCCACGTAGCAACAGGGCAGAGCCTGCCAGTGCCTTTCAAGATAGGGCCATGTTCTGTTGTCTAGAGGGTAGTCACTGTGTCTCCTACTGATTCTGGGTTTTCTATAAGCCCAGGATGAATGCTGGGCACAAATTAGTCACCTACTTCTTGTAGCCAATTTCTTTTTGCTGTTGCTTGTCTTATCCGTAGCTAAAGACTATATGCACTTGCTGATTAATTTGTTCCTGTATTCCTTTATCTCTTTGCCCATCAATCTGGTTTTCTCTGCCCAAGCCCTTGTTTCTTTCCCTTTCTTTCATATTAGTCTCTGTCCTGCTGCCACAGTCACCACGCTGCATACCCGTCCTGTCTGTCCTGTCTATCACTCAGGATGTTGATGGACCTCTTCCATTAATGAAGACTTTTCATTCTTTGAGTGCCTGTCATAGTCTGGACACTCCTCACATTAGTACACTGACGTTGGTCCCACGGTGTCCTCTTCTCAGGAGGTAAAACCCCATGGGCGGTAGTAAGAAATGAACTACCCAGGCATTCTTGCTTTTGTCATGATATCTAAACATATCCTCATCATCCTGAAATGAAGACAATTACTTCTCTTTTTCAGAAAATGAATGAATTGGTTTTCAAAATTTTGGATATTTTCTTTCTTCTATTTTAAGGTCTTGAGGAAGATGTAGGGGAAAAAAAACATTCTTACTGAAATAAAAGAATCCTCGCTGATAAAGTACCCTGGTGCAGGGAAGAGGCCACCAGAAAGGGTTGCTTTCTGCCATACCTGATGCCACATTACTTTATAAAACAGTCACATATCTTATGATGTCAATGGCTGTTCCAAGATATGAAAGTAACCCTACTTTGGAACAAAGCATGGACATTCAGTAAATCTCACAATGGCCACTAGTAGCACGTCTGGCACATTTGTGATAACTAAAATAAGGCAACTCTTCTGGGTAGTTCACTTGGAGAAAGAGAACTCTTCCTCTGGGCTGATGTAGCCCTAGGCCCAGGGGCTAAGACTTAAAGAGGAGAACACTGGCTCAACTTCAGCCCCCACATGGGCCTTCTTGGCTGAGCAGCCCTTATCTACCATTAACAACTATCCCTTGATCACCATTCTTTCCTGGTCACCATGTGACACACAATGTCAAAAATAGTTTGTCAATGATTTCCATGTTGGAACCTAATGTTAAATGTCCATTCTTCAATTGCCTTTAATAAATCTTTCAACTACCCATAAGATATCAGTGAGCCTTGATGGTGGCATTGTATCATAGAAACATTATCTACAAATATGGTAGGGCAAGGGTGAAAAAGAATACAACAACGAAGTTAATGAGAAAATACTTGAGCCAAGAGAAACTGAAAAGCTCTTGTGATTGAATTCCATTTTTTGTTGTATGGACTGAATTAAAAGTCATAGGCCAAAAAGACAACAGTCTTTATTTGGAAATCAAAGAGAAACTAGAAGCAATTAACTAAATAATTTAGTTTAAAGATGCTAGCTAGAGTAGTCACAAAAACAATTAGTACATTACTTTGAGCGAAGAAATATTATGTGAACTTCGGGGAAATTTTTATGTGCTTAAAAAATTTTAAATATTTGTTATGAAGAAAAGGATGGGGAGGGCAGGGCAGCTATTAGTTAATTTTTTTTAAATGAATTAATTCTCATTTATATTTAATAGCATATAATTGGGTTTTTCTAGAGCCAATTAAAAAGTACTTATAAGAAAAACCAGATTTAATGAGAATCAAAACAAAAATCTTGTGCTACCTTACGATCATCTAGCTAGGAGAGTGGAAAACGGCCAGATCAGGAATGGCTCTGGGACAAAGAAGTCAAAGATGAACATAGACATGGAGCAGTACGAGTTCAAAGAAAAGGGATGGGCAAATACAGTCTCATTATAACCTACTGTGTCACTTAGCATGTTTCAAATGCAGGTGAAAGAAAACCTAACTCATAGTGACTTAGACGATAGAAATTATTGTCATACGTACTAAAAAGTACAGGTATAGTTTAGCTTTCAGGTTAAGCTTGACCTAGAAAATTAATTTTGTAATCAAGGACTAATTCTCCTTTAGTCTTCCTACTCTACCTTCCATTATGAAATCATCAGTCCAAGTTGATTTAACTTATTTTGACTGCCAGTAACAACCAGGACTACATACTTGCTCATGTCCATTTAGTAGGAAAGTTTGTCTTTTCCCCAGTCATTGAACTCAGCTCCATTCAGGTGGCACCAACCTAAGCCACTGAGCCATTCACTGTGGTCAGCATAACACCTGGTGCCTATTGGTTCACTCCTGCCTGAGTTATGTTTTCCCCCCCCCCAACCCCTGGCCAATCCCTCTGGCAGAAGACATAGAATGGTGCTAATTGGCTGATTTTGGAGATAGAGTCATTCTCACCCAAACTACAGTGGGGAAAGCATAGTAAGGATGCTGGAGAGACCTCTTCCAGTCCACCTTCCATTGCTTATGGAACTGTTTTTGTACTGTGCTTTCTTACAAGGATCTGGGCTGAGATGCAAAGAAACTCTCATCCTGATCAAAATAAGTATATGTAGATTTTAAACAGAGAGGCTGTCACTTGCTAACCTCAATCCTGAGGCTATTCAATAAAGTGAATACTTTTTTTTTTTTTTTAAAGATGACCGGTAAGGGGATCTCAACCCTTGGCTTGGTGTTGTCAGCACCACGCTCAGCAAGTGAGCTAACCGGCCATCCCTATATAGGATCCGAACCCGTGGCCTTGGTGTTATCAGCACCGCACTCTACCGAGTGAGCCACGGGCCGGCCTGTTACTTCCCCTTTTATAGGCAGGATTATCCAGGCCAAAGAGGACAATGGAAGAGCTGGAGCAAGAACCCAGTCTCCTCTCTGAGGCCAGCACCTTTCCATCATACCGACCACTGCCAAAGGTTGCTACAGCCACGATGCTATTGGAAGTAATAGCAAATAAAAACACAGTGGTTGAAAGAATAATAGGGCATGTCAGGCTTATTCCTTACCTGTCATTGTCTACCTTTCTAATATGCAATAGAAATCTGCTGCATTAAGTATCTCTTCTATCCTTTAACAAAGTCTCACTAGTAGGGACAATCCAACTCCTTCGTAATCTCTGCACTTTTATCTGCAAATTCTAAATCAGGCCAACAGATGAGACAATTGAGCCCATCACTTCATATTTTAATTTCTTAACCGAATAGCATATTAATTCTAATTATCACTCATTCCACCGTTACTAAATTATAAGTAAGCTGCTTTATATAAAACCAAAGAAAAGTGCCTCATATTTGAGATCATCTTAAAGTAGCATGCTGAAAACAATTACTGCTATAAATTATAAGCTTTCCTCTGTGCTATTGTTTTAAAAATAAATCTTATGAGATTCTTATGTAAGACAAGAAAGATTTTTTAGCAATTTTTAAAATGTTCTATTGCTTTTAGATACTACTTACAGTTTTCTCCTCAAAGATTGATTTCTTTTTAAATTTAAGCTCTAAAATATCCTCAGATTTGTAAGCATTAAAACATTGATTTTTTTCTTTCCCTGAACATGCACTCAAATAACTCATTTGAAAATCTCAGACAGCAACATCCAACACCAGAAGAACAAAGGCAGCGTTATTTGCAACCAACATCCAAATTGTTCTATAACCATTAAACTTGTGGGAGACCTTGTGATTCTCCTACCTGCCCACAGCCTCCTGCTGTGAGTGGGAGTTGCTATGTGGGCTACAGGTGAGGGGGCCCTAACCAGCACCCAATGAGCCTAGTTCATCTCCTGCATTAACTGATGATCATCTCCCATAGTGTCTGTACAATAAGCAGATGGAAACTAACTTATGAGCTCAAGTGTCTACATAACAACTGTGTTTTTGACTACACTAGGCAGAAAATGTCTTTGCACAATTTCTATGTGTTTATGCATTAATATTGAAGATCTAATACCTAGTAGGCTAATAAGGCCTCAAACACATTAAGGCCTTTCCTTGGCTAGGGAGGGAAGTACTATAACTATTTTACTCACAGTAAGTTCCTTGCAAAGGTAATTCTTTAAAGATTTGTCTGATATTCAGCTCTGATTCTACAGCCAGCAGAGCCAGTCATACCTGGAGTATCTGTGAAATAATGAGTTAGTTTCCCACTGTGAGGTCTCCTTTATAATTCAAATTTCAGCTGGAAAGTCTTTGAAGAGATGATTGAACCATATCGTCTCCATGAAAGCTGCAAAGATTTAACAACTGCTGAGAAATTAAAAAGAGAAACTCCATGGAAAATTACAGATGCAGAACTGGAAGCAGTCAAGGAAAAGGTAAGGACTTGTCTTCCTTAATTTTTACTTTGCTGTCTAACAAGCTGACAAAGGAAACAGGGTGGATTTAAAGATCAAGAAGTAATGTATCTATTATCAAACAATATGCAAGAACCAGAGTTTCTGCATTTTTCAAGTGCTTTTCAATTATATTACTGAATATGAGGATTTAGAAAACTGTGTTTACTTTTCTCTGTAAGGTCAATTATTTTTTTAAAAGTTAAAAAAACAGGTTATTGGCACATAATGTGAAGTCTCCTTTCAAATTTAATTTTAAAGAAGAGACAGACCAATCAATCTAAAATAATTCAAGTCAATATGTGTGCAGACTAGGTAAAGGCAGATTGATTCACAATTTAACGCTGTAACAATGAATTTTAACCTGATGAAGATAGCTATGAAAAACTAACAAAGGTGTCTGAGAAAATAGATGATGTGATTGGAACAATGAATATGAAAGGTGAATCCAGCACACGTAAGATGGGTGTGAAGTGGTGAGCTTCTCTAGAGAGCCCAGCAAGACGGGAGTTACCCTCTTCTGGCCTGAGACAAATAAAGTTGATGATAGCGGGGATGATGAAAAGGGCAGGGACTCAAGAAGTAGGTAGAAGAATCGACATCTGAAATGGACATTAAAAGAAAGAGGCCACAAGAACTTCCAAAGTTCAAAATCTAAATAAACCACAGCAGAAGCTGATCTTGGAGAAATTAGAACAACGAATACTAAAAGCCTTTCAGATTTAGTAAAAAAAAAAAAGAAAGAAAAGAAAACATACTGAACTAGAATCATAAACCGTGTGTGTGATAAACTACAAAATATTTATTTTTCTAAGTGAGTCTTTTGAGGGCTTTTTAGTTGAAACCAGCTCCCAGTGCTGATAAAATATTCAAAGAGCTTAAACAGAGGTAGAGTAGATATAATCTATATTCTTAGGACATCAAACTGGTATCAAGATTTGATCAGTTTTCTTTAACCAAAAACCTGCTCCACCAAACTGGCCATTCTTATCTTCTTTTTACTATTATCCATGCTGTTTGCTTTCTTCCCCCTAGAATGTTGACACTGTAGCAGAATGACAATCCGGTCTTTCTTTACATTTCAGAAATTTCTCATGAGGTTTTAAAACATTGTAAGTTTCTAGCCCTGAAAAAATAGTTGCAATTTTTTTAAAAAAAAATAGGTAAGATAAATTCTCATTCATAATTCTGGTAGAACCGCACTCAACAAAATCTTAATGTTACCCGCAGAGTTGCCGCCAAGTTCGACTGAATGAACTCTTACAGGAGCACTCGAGAGCTGCCAATCTCCTCGTTCTGTATGTATTATTTCAGCCGTTTAAGAATGTTAGAGAGAAATCTTAGGCTAAATGGGCTAACCAACTTAAAAGCTCATGACTCTTCTGGTGGAAAGTTTTTTTGTTTTGTTTTGTTTAAGAAATACGTGGAATTTTAGACAGGGAAAGAAGATAAATGCCATGCCGAGACCCTGACAACTGGGGTCTGTGGGTTTTAGAGGGCCTCACCTGGTCTTTCTGCCAGTCATGCCACACCCATGGGATCAGGGGCACATGCCTACCTGGAACCCAGGCTTCCCTTCCAGACCATGCTCCAGGAACCTGAGACCTGGAATTCCTGCCTAACAGCCTCACGCTGGCCACCAAGGCTCACAAGCGTCCTCCCTGGGTGGGGTTCCTGAGCCGCCATGCCCATGGTAGTTTCATGAGGCTCCGTGCAGTGTGGGAAGAGGCCAGAATAGGAAGAAAAGGCAGTTTTCTTTTCCATTTTCACTCTTCCTTCCAGCCCCACAAATGCTAGGGTTGTGCCTCCTGAAAATATCAATGTTCATTTATTTAAAGATTGGTAGCTAAATATAAAAACCTCCAACTATTTCACATTTATACCTCATTAACTGACCCCTTATGTATGAAGATAAATAAGTCTTCAAGCATGGTCTAGACTGGAGGACTATCCATCTAAGACATTGTAGAACGATCTGCTGAATTGGGTGGTAGGGTTTCAACAGCTGGTTCCTGAAGTTTCTCCCAAATAAAGAAGCTTTAAACTACTGGGAAAAACCATTTCCACCAAAAAAAAAAAAGGTGGAGTATTAGTTGATCAAATTCTCTATTTAAAGAAGAGTGAAAATTTGTATATACTTTTTGTCTTTAAAATGCCTAAGCCTATTTTTCTGGTTTACGGATACATGTATTATGTGAGAAATACGTCAGTTTAATACCTACATTCAAAATAATTTCAGTGCTTTTATTTTGTGGGAGCAGGGGGTGGATAGAAGCTTCAGGCCACTGGTTATTAAATAGTTCAGAAGTGCTGGTGATGTTAATGCCCAGAGTAATTTTCACTTTTGTTTTTTATTTTTCTTCCATGTCACCAGGAGCCTTCCAGTGGCGAGAAAAGGATCCATATCAGATTTGTTGTATATGGCTTGGCTGGAAATTCTCACAAAGAACCTCCCTCCTGTCTTACTAGTTAGAGGAAATCACAAAAATGTCCTGACATTTTACTCTTAAGGAATGAAAGATTAGAATTTGTTTTAACTTAATGTATGAATAATTAAGAAACATGTTCCAGTACTTTATGTTGTAAATCTGATCGATGGATACGCAAACCTCTAGAGACTGTCCTACCAGATTCCACACATATTTTGTCTTTTTTTATTATTATTAGTTAACGGGAGCTTTTCTCCACTATCAGCTTAAGGGGTGTCAAAGCCCCTACAAAA